AATGTATGTTTTATACCACACTTACAATTGTATGAATAATATGAAAATTAGAACTTTACCTAAAAAGTAGAAACAAATCAAATTAAATGTAAAAAAAATCCATAATAATCTTAGATTTGATTATCGCTAAAGACGAATTTGAACCAATTGTTGTTAGTCTATTATGAGGCTTAGCCTACTCCTCCACCTCCTTAGTATAGATAACATCGTTATTTAAATAAAAAATTCAAACAATAGTACATGTTTTCTAGACAATACAATATGCGTGTTGCTTGCACCTTTTCTCTAATACGATATATAACTTTGGTTGCAATTGCCAATGGAAAGATCTTAAAAGAGTGATTGGCTTTGCATGTTACGTGTTTCGAAACACTTTTTCTTGTCCCTTGATAATGTTTGTGCATGAATAATTGGTCCATATTGTAAATAACTTAATATCTTAACAACATGGCTCTACAATCACAGTTCAATATGCATCACAATAGGAAGAAGGAAGACTGATACTAACCAGCACCGATGGGAGGCATGATGGCTTTGAGTTCACAAGGTTGTCTTCTACTCTCTTCAAACGGAAGTGTTCTAGCAAGGAGTAGGGTTTGCTTAGAATGAAACTTTTTTTAGAGCAGGGACATCCTTAATATGGTATTTAGGGTTCCTTTAAAACCGCATATTATAGTTAATAGAGAGATACACAAAATCACCATTTAACATAAATATTGTTCCACTAAGGCATGTACAATATGTCTTACTTAATTAGGGTACCAAATAGTCAACTAATGTATCTTGGTTCTATGATTCTTGTCAATCAATATAAATCACTATGAGAGTCAAATGAATTTTAGATCAAGTGACCCGACTTTCAAGTAATTCGATTATCATAATAAGTCAAGATGAATCTTACACATATGCACTGTTACTGTTACATAGCATCACCATTTTTTCTCTCTTAAATACTTCCAAACAGAAAATGATAAAGAAAAAAAAAACTGGATCCCCCACAAAGTGATCAACAACTCACCATTTTCTATTGGAACACATTCATCACACTTTTAAAATAGTTGAAAAATAATTCAATCAATAAAATTACGTTTCGTTGAAGGAAATGTTTCACTCATAAAACATACTTATTAAGAAACTAATTTTACAGCTGATTATTTGATTAAGTTTGGTTATAATCATGAAGTAGACGATCACAATTGTGAATCTCTTGATGGCGGACTACTTTAGAAAATAAAAAAGTTCTGCAAGTTCAAATTAGTGCATTCTTGTTATGTTTGGATTTTGCTCTTAATTAATTGTTCACCCAAAGAAAAGAATGTTTAACTTTAGCTTCAATTCAAAATGTCATAATTGTTACAAACAAGAAGAAAAAATTGGCGCTCTTTTGTCCTTTCTTAAAGAGAAAAATAAAACTTCACTGTATTAGTAGGGATGGCTTATTAGCATGATGGATTCACTGTTTATGGAAGTAGTACTTGAGTATTTTTAGAACTTCAAGTTTAATTAAGCTAAACTTATTAAGTTTTAATCATGTATTTTGGATTTGAAAATTCTCTATTTCGAATTATCGTAACAGTTTCAAACTCTTCTCTTTCACTATAAAAAAAAGGAAAAAAACTAAACTTATTAAGTTTGAGTTCCGATGAGCTTATTATTTGGTCCAAACCGACCAATATCGAGACTGCCAACTAAACTGAATCTTAACTCTGAGTTTCCAGTAATAAAAATGTAAAGAAAAACTAATGAAAATGTTTGAAAACTTTGAATTTTAAATATAAGATAAAATTAAAAGTAAAGTGAATAGTACCATGATTCACTTTTTAGTATAAAAATATGATTTTTTTGTTAAAATGAACAATACCGAAAGTTTTTCATTAAGTTCCTAAAAATCAATTGGGTGTTGTTCAGATATAAAGGGTAAATCCAAGAACCATTATCCCAACACATTAATCAAATTGAAACCCAGCTAATTAATTTGCTCTCCTGAAAGAAGCAGATAGGATGTCCAGCCCTCTGTAACGTGGAAATACTCAATAATCCACGTGACACGTGGCCCTAGTCCCATGCAGACTTTTGCAGTTTCCACTTGAGTTGGAGCACCACATGTCATATAATTAATAGACAACGTTAAGGTCCTATTAATCATATCGTGTCACCAAACAAATGTTTAGATCTGATCACGTATACGTGCTACTTTTTCAACCTAATCTTCGTTTGAAAGCGCTTTCAAAATTACTAACTTGTTGCCTTTGGCTTCTCTTTTTGTGTACAAACCAGGTTCTTATCATCAGCTTAAGAGATTCTCATAATCTTTAAGTGCCTCATTCCCCCCATTATTTTATTGTTTTCGTATGATGATTATAAAATAAAAGCCCTCACAAATCTCAGTTCATGATTCATGAACCACGATTAGAGTTAATATTTTGTTGTTCTTTTTCAAATGTCCCTCCAAATTCAAATTCTTCGATTTGAAAGTCTTTCCTCTTTTCTTTTTCCTCACTTTACCAATAAATTTTAAATATTTTTCTGTTAATTAAATATGAGAATTAACAAATGCTTGTGATTTGCAATGTGCTTAATCGGAATGGTACGATAACTTATTAGTTTTACTAGGTTCAATCCTAATCATATAGTTCAATAATACTAGAAATATCAGCTTATTCTTATTATACTAAATTTTGTTTATTTTTGTTTTACATAATGAATTAGTCGTTAGCTTAATTAGGCGTGTAATAAGTTGAAACTACAAGAAAAAATGACTATCGAGACTATTTTTTTTCCTTTCTCTTGGCTAAACTGTTGTTACGTCGGCTAATCTTTCCCCGATGAAATAATTTCGTGCAATACTCGATCCAACAATATCCAATTTCAAAAAACTATGAGTTTAGAATTATATAATATATATGTTAGGGAAATTTTATTTGAACCCACCTAACATTTTTCTGCACCCAACTTAAATTTTAAATGTTAATTGTCTTTTTTTTTTTTATCATATTGTATAATTACCATCAAATACAATATAAAATTAATAATAAAACTTAAATTTATCACACCCTATAATTAAATCTATCATCACTCCTTGTTTATTTACGTTCATCCGACTAACACCCTAATAGCTCTTGTAGAGAAACACAAGCTTTTTATTTATTTTTATTTTTTTATCGATAGATGGTGATTTTGAAGTTTTGAATACTTCAACTAAGGTATAAATCAATTTTTGAAAAAAAAAAAAAAATCGTTTGATTTCAATTTTTTAGAGTTTAGAAGATGAGTATTTGGGATTTCCTTCCAGAAGCTTCCTGGCCACAGCTTCTTCTCCTACCGTGATTGCGTATATGTTATTCTTAGCCTTATAAATCTTTCCTCAAGATCGAGACTATCCTCCAAGGTGATACTCAGTCCATCCAACACTTCCTCCTCATGATCCATTTCTCAAACGGCAAAAACCAATCACAACTATAGAACTGAGTAGAGAACAAATCCAGATAGGATACTCCAGCAGCATAGAAATAGGCTGCACAATTAGCAAGCATAGAAGCCTAAAAAAAGTTGATTTTGAAAGAAGGAAAGAGGGAAGTGAGTTGAAAGAGAGAGACACGGGGAAGAAAGAGATTAGAGATTTTGAGCTTTTTTTCTTTCTGATTCTAGTTTCTTTGAATACACAACCAAGCATCTTCTTCTGCTCAAGAAAATCTATTATTTTTATATGCAAATAAAATCACGGGTACATGAATATCAAGAAAACAAGAAATTGAAAAGTGTTAGGTATATGGAAGATTCATAAACAAGTAGAAACTTCACCAAATTATTTAATTTTGGATTTTATTTTCTAAATACGTGTAAAGATAAATTTACATTTTTAATTGGGTTTGGGAGGATAATTTAGGTAATAATTTTGGGTTTAAAGAGATATTAATTGTTTAATTAAAAATAATAAGGGTTTAAAGAATAAGTTGAGTGTAGAAAAAAGTTATATGAGTTCAAATAAAATTTCCCTGTTATAGGCCCCCATTTCTTATTCAAGATCACATGCGTTGAGAGAGTTAAAAAGTGTACAATTGGGTGGATTAATTAAGAGTAATTATTTACTAAGCCTAAATTTTGGTCCTTCCTTAAAGCCAATTTCAAAACATATTTAGTATAACACGTTTAATCATGCCCTTTCCTTAAAAAAAACCCAAATAACATTAGATGCAATGGTTTTAACCTTTTAGTTGAATTTCATGAGGTAAAAGTTCTTCTTGTGATATTAGAAAGTCATGATAAAACCCTAAACGGAATCATTTGTGTAACAAACTCTCCAAACTTGTCGAATGCATTACTAACATTATCATATATTGTGCATTATTAGTTGTTCAAACGTGGTAATTAACGATTTATGAGCACCTCAAGTGGGGGTTTAAAATTACTTATTTTAAGCCTTCGTAATGATCCTATGTGCATTATTAAACTCAACTAACATTATTATGTGGTCAAAAATGGATGGAAGAATACTTGCATTTTAGGAAAGGTCAACGTGCAATTGCGAGTTGCAAGTCTTAAGGAAAGAGATGGATTCCAATGATCACCCAATTTCTTTATGTATTTGTCAACATTACCTTAAATTATGTGAAGTATATAGTTATCCATCTATGATTCGAACACTGCACCCAAATGGTGTAGCAAGATTTAAGTGAGACAAGAAAATCAAATCTAAGATCTGAAATGCGAAAGTGAATACTCTTAACTACTTGAACTATGAATATCTCGTAGATTAATAATATGTCCATAAAAACATCATTCATTACTTGGCTACGATTGCATATCCTTATAAAGCTTATAGAAAAAGACTCTCAATCTAATTCAAAAGAAACCTTCATACGCATCTCACAATGTGAGGTGTGAACCATAAACCACATTTTCTCCATGTGAATACGAGTGATGAGAACATGTCGACTGTCTGCATGGTCCTACTCCCACCCAATATATATGTGTTGTAGGAAGCAGAAAGTGAACTCAAAAATATTGGGAGAGACAAGAAAAAGAAATGTTCAAGGGCAATAATGTGATTTCAGAAACTGGGAGGTACCGTTTGGTAATTTAGCTTTAAGTTCAACAGCAGTTAGTGAGTCATCTCTCACTAACGTTCAACGTCCCTTGCCTGCAAAGTAGAGTTTCTAGAGAGAGAAATTAGAGAGAGAGAGAGAGAGAGAGGAGAGGAGAGCGAAGGCATTAAGGAAGGAACAAAACAAATGACAAGTTAAAAGAAAGCACTCAGTTCTGTTCTGATTCTCTCTCACTTTCAAAACGGTGCTGTTTCGTCTTCTTCTTCTTCTTCTTCCACATTCTTTCATGGGTTTTGCTTCAAAAAGCTGATTGTTTTGGAAGCAGAAGAGAATTGGGGGAGAAGAAGAAGATGTCTTGGAGAAGCAGAGGAGACCCATCTGCTTCTAGAAGTTTTATTTCTCAGAAATGGACCCTTTTTCTTTGTTTAAGCTGCTTCTGTGCTGGAATGTTCTTCACCAATAGGTACTATTGCTTTTGAACAATTTTAATATTTTACCACCACTTTTTTCGAATTGTTCAAAATTATCTGCTTCTGGGTTTTGAACCAATCGGTTATTTATACTTGCTTCTGTAATGGGTTCGAGCCAGTTTCCTAAAATGGCTACTCAATTGGAAAGTGTTTATTTATTAACTTTCTATTTTTAGATCTATGAACACTGGTCGTTATTGGTTTTGGTTGTTGGATTTGAATATTGATAAACTTGTGATCTTTTTTTGTTCTAATTAGCTGGATGATTCTGAATTTTCAATCTTTTTTTATGGTTAATTATTTTCTGAATTTGATTAAACATGCATGAATTTCTTAGGAGACATTTTATTTAGTTTCAGGATGAAAATTTGGTTGTTGACATGTCATGAGATTTTGATGAAAATTTATGTGCTGGTTGCAGAATGTGGACTATTCCAGAAAGTAAAGGTATCACAAGGAGAACAGCTATGGAAGAAGAAACATTAAATTTAGTTTCCGAGGGTTGCAATCCGAAATCGGTAATGTCTTATCTCTAACTTAATTTCGTATCATCACAAGACTCATTATTCACTAATGTTTTAAAATTTGTATATCATGTTCATCATCTGAAGTTTTCTTCTATGTTAATCTGATTTGGTGCTTTTAGTTGAATCAGAAGGAGGTAAAGCGCGAAAATAAGGACATCTTTGGGGAGGTTTATAAGACTCATAATGCTATACAGTACGTTACTGCTCTCTCGTACAAGAACATAATGTTTCACGATTTTGGTTAATTAACTTAATTTCTAAGTTTTCGATCGTGTGCTGAAATAGGACGTTAGATAAGACTATTTCAAATTTAGAGATGGAATTAGCTGCAGCAAGGGCAACACAGGAGTCAATACGTAGTGGCTCTCCATTATCAGGAGACTCGAAGACTGATTCAACTGGGAAGAGAAGGTATCTGATGGTTGTTGGAATTAACACTGCTTTTAGCAGCCGGAAAAGAAGAGATTCAGTTCGTGCTACGTGGATGCCACAAGGTACATAAACGGATTCCCTAATTCCATTGTTGTTTTCTATTGGATTTGTTTACATCTGTTGTCTGATTACTTTTGCTTATGCAAAACATGAATTATAGGCGAGAAACGAAAGAGGCTGGAGGAAGAGAAGGGTATTATCATTCGCTTTGTCATTGGTCATAGGTGACTGTTTAATCTTTGTTCTTGCTAGTTAATCATTCGCTTTGTCATTGGTCATAGGTGACTGTTTAATCTTTGTTCTTGCTAGTTAATCTTAAGTAGGAGGGCTCCTATGCATTCTTTGCATGCGATATATTACCTTTTGTGGTCTGCTAAAATAGAATTCATCGCAGATGTAGTTTAAGTCATTGATCTGCCAGGCTGCAGTCTATCGAATACCTATGCATGAATGCATTGGTTCCCATTCAGTTATAGCTGATGGAAGCCAAGACTATAATTCCCCCGTTTACAATCTATCACAACTCCGTGTCATTGAACACCCTTATTTCATAAAAAGCATGAAATGCTGTAGTGTTGGTAATTGAAAGGTATCCATGTAATCACAAAACAAAATCTTCTTAGAGTCTAAAACTCAGTGTTTGTCCGTTGTACATGTTCGAAGCAGCAGTACGTTTTCTATTTCTTTCTCTCCGGGTAAAAGAACTTTCAAGCCTCCATAATCTAGATGCCTTACTAGGTTCAACTTAAAATTGCTATATCTTGAGATTATTGGGATAATTGAATTTACAAGTTTTTACCGTTCCTTGTCTAGTGCCACGTCAGGAGGTATTCTAGACAGAGCTGTTGAAGCAGAGGGCAGAAAGCATGGTGATATCCTGAGGCTGGTAATGTCCTTTAGTCGTTCTTCTGTTGTTATTCCCCTCTTCGTTCCACATGTATGCTTGCAGCTCACTTGAGTCTTGAACGTAACATGTTCATCTCTATGCCTCTTTCGCAGGACCATGTTGAAGGGTACCTCGAATTGTCGGCCAAGACAAAGATATATTTTGCTACTGCTGTTGCTACGTGGGATGCAGATTTTTATGTCAAAGTTGATGATGATGTCCACGTAAATATTGGTAATTTAAAACTTCTTTTACAATGATAAACATTTTTCGTACATACCATTGTCCATGATGACATAAAAAGTGAAAGAATTAGGTTTCTTTTCCATTTGAGAAACATATGGATACTACCAAATCGGTAGTCTATTTCAAACTACGTAGGCTCTTCACCCTTTGTGAAAACTCTTGGGTCGTTTTAAGCTTACAAGATCTTACTGGATGGCCAACTTGGGTGTACCTAGACTGGTAGAGCAATTTATTCATCTCACTGTGCCCATCTCTATTCAATTTTCTGCAGCGACACTAGGAGAAACACTAGTCAGACACCGAAAGAAACAGCACCTCTACATTGGATGCATGAAATCTGGTCCTGTTCTAGCACAAAAGTAAGCCAGTGCTTATAATTGTTCTTTATCTTTTCCTTTGGGGCTCAGATGATTTTTTAGAAAGTAACTGACAATGTGTTCTTGACTATTTGATCGTACAGGGGAGTGAGATACCATGAACCCGAGTATTGGAAATTTGGTGAACCAGGAAACAAGTACTTCCGTCATGCTACAGGACAGCTGTATGCTATATCAAAAGATTTGGCTACGTATATATCAATAAACCAGTAAGTTTCCCACCTTAAGGATGGATATTGAAATACATGTTCTGTTTAAAACATTATGCACTTGGGATGCTCATTTGTATGCATATGTCAGGCATGTCCTACACAAGTACGCTAATGAGGATGTCTCACTGGGAGCTTGGTTTATTGGACTCGATGTGGAGCATATTGATGACCGGAGACTATGTTGCGGCACCCCACCCGGTAAGTTGTACTGTTGTACTCAGTCAAAATTAGTTATTTTGAGTGTAAAAATAAGAGCGCATGCTCGTTCATTGTAGAGTTATTTAAGTTCTAATGGAGACTTGTTTGCTGCAGATTGTGAGTGGAAGGCTCAGGCAGGCAACATCTGTGTTGCTTCATTTGATTGGACCTGTAGTGGGATTTGTAAGTCAGCCGAGAGAATCAAGGAAGTCCACCGCCGGTGTGGGGAAGGCGAAAACGCCTTGTGGAGTGCTACTTTCAAATAGGTAGCTCGAACCTCTTCCAACCTCGGGAAGACTTTTCGAGCTGCAGTATAAAGGCAGGTGTGCTAGTCTTTTATTCTTTGTTCATTTTCCTTCTTCTGTACTGAAATATAGAGAATTACAACATCAAAAAATATTTAGAGAGAGAGAGAGAGAGAGAGAGAGAGAGAGAGAGGTTGCTGTGTGGATCAACTCCATTTTAATAGAGGATATCGGCCACAATGAAGCAGCTGCTAAATTGAAAATAGAGGGGGCTCCAACCCATACGATTCTTTGAGAGGCTTGAAGAGCCAACCTGTAAGTTACAGTTCTTCTACGGTAACAAATGCAACAATAAATATGCATATCTTTCTGGGAGCTTTTACAGCCTTTCTTGTGCAGTCTTGTTTCCCTTGGTATATGAATATGAACATACATATTATTTTGAATTGATGTCTTTCCCAGTTATCATGTGACTCATCTCACACGATCCGTGGCTCCACCGATGTTTTCGGGACATTCTTGCATATATTGCCGTGTGACTTAGGGCACTCATCCCGTGCTTAATGAGTGACGTGATCAATGCTTACTCACACGGCAGGAATATACACCTGTTGGAATTCCTCTGTCCCACATCGGCCATAGATTTAGAGAACAAGTCCTTTATATAGAATTACCTCACTCTAACTAATACCGAGGTTTTTTGTATTAAAACACCACAGCTGATTGAAGTGGACTCATGACCCGTCTACCTGAAATTTAAAAATCCAACGACCCACTAATTCCTGTCAGGAGGATCCCAAAGATTTGCCTCCACTAATTCCATCCAATTCCAAATACTTCATAGTCAATTAATTGTAGTAAATAGATAGATGGTTCGTATATTTATAAATATGAATGATTCTGATTATAAGTACAAAATTTTATGAATGTCACGATGTATTTTAGAGAGAAGTTCCCTTCAATCCTTAAAGAGCCAAGTCTTTCTGTTTAACTTGGAAGTTGCCAAACATTAGAAACTTGGAAGTGTTGTTTTCATGCCTATTTCAGATGCTGAAATCGATGGTTCGAATTTGCTTTCTATAAAGACACAAATCTATCTTTCTTATTTTACTTTTCACAAGCATGTATTTGCATGCTAACTAGAAAAAGACAGAAAATTGAAAACGACTTCATTTGCATTATTATTAGAATTAGCAATTACCTTTACTAGGATTTTACAATAGGGACTTTCTAGTATGGACATACAACGGGATCCATGACTGTTACGCTATGGTTGAATGATGGAAATAAACTTGAAATTTAGATAAAAGTTTGAATTTATAAATTGATATACATTAATTTTGTTGTTTGGATTTATAAATATAGAAATTTAGAATTTTATGCGTGAAAAAAAAATTAGAATTTAAGACCTCCAATTCTTAAGTTTAAATTATATGTAAATATGCGTCATTTTCTATCTTCTATAAGTGGGAGTATAAAAAAAAAAAAAAAAAAAAAAAACCACTACTTGTCACCACCACCATCACCCGCCATTATCATCACCATCACAAATGCCCCATCACCACATGCCGTTGTGGCCTTTGCAGCTGGCCACCACCTCTGCCCACGTCATCGCTGACGTTGCCACCACCGACCATCATTGTCGTTGTCGCCCACCCCACCACATGCATCATTTTCTATCTTCTATAAGTGGGAGTTCAAAAAAAAAAAAAAAAAAAAAAAAAAAAGCAACCATGAGTGGCAACATACCACCACTTGTTACCACCACCATCACCCGCCATTATCATCACCATCACAGATGCCCTACCACCACATGCCATTGTGGCCCTTGTAGCGGCCACCACCTCCACCCACGTCATCACTGACGTTGCCACCACCGACCATCATTGTCGTTGTCGCCCACCCCACTACTAGCACATTTCTTAACTACTATCTTTTATTTATATATGGGTAAACTACAAAAAAACTACATTAACTATTGGTATCACGACACTTTCATACCTCATCTTTTAAAATTGATAATGTCATACCTCATCTTATGAATTTGTGCCAATGTTATATGTTCCGTTAGCTTGATGTGAATTTCTCAGTTAAATGCTGATATGACTTGATTCAGGGCCCACTTTCTATTAAAAAAATTAATAAAATATTATCAAAAACTAAAAAAATTATTTAATATTTTTAAATATTAAAACAAAAGTTAAAAAAAAAAAAAAAAACATCACTTCGTCCCTTCCCCCCCTCTCTCTCTCTCATCTCCCCCATCTTCATCTTCCAGCTTAATCTTCAACCAAAAAAAAAAAAAAAAAAAAAAAAATGAAAACCACCCTAAAAAACCCAACCCCTGCCAACCCTAAATCCACCACTTCCACCCCATCACGAAGGTTTCTTGATTCCACCTCAACGAGATCTGTGTTTTTTTTTTGGGTTGCAGGTAGTGGGTGCGAGGGTGGGTGCATGTTTAGGGAAGATGGGAGGGGGGAAGAAAGGAAGGGGGTTGGGGAAAATCGCGAGTTGGGGGGAGGGAAGATAAATTGGTTTTTTTTTTTTTTTCCTGGGTTGTAGGAAGGGAAGGGGGAAGAAGATGAAGATGAGGGAGAAGAGAGAGAAGGGGGGTGGGGAAAGGGGACGTGAGGGTTTTTTATTTTATTTATTTATTTATACTTTTCTTTATTATTTTAATATTTAAAAATTATTAAATGATTTTTTTGTTGTTTTTAATAATATTTTATTAATTTTTTAATAGAAAATGGGTTCCGGATCAAGCTAGGTCAGCATTTAACTGAGAAATTCACGCCAAACTAACAGAAGGTATAACATTGACACAAATTCGTAAGATGATGTATGACATTGTCAATTTTAAAAGATAAGGTATGAAAATGTCGTGACACCAATAGTTGAGGTAATTTTTTGTAGTTTACCCTTTATATATTAATCATGACTCTTTACACACATATGATTCCGTATTCTAATTTCATTGTTCTTTTATGTTATTTTTTAAAATTCATTAGTATTAAGGGGAGGAGGAAGGTTTGAATATATTTACAATAATTCAGGGGGAGTGAGAGTTATAAACACGAGACGCATAGATGAAACCAACACTATATCAACTGGAACATTGAATCACATTTTTTTTAGATTAATCAAACAAGAACTTTCATAAATTCTAAAAAATAAAATTATATCATTTCTATTTCCGTCATTTTCAAATTCCTTAATAATCTTAAATTTCATCATTCAAACACAATAGATTCTTGATTGTTGAATCTTTGATCGGACATTCGTTTCTTCAGGTGTACACTATACATTGGCGCACAGTAAAAGACAAAAAAGTACAATTATTTTCTTCATTAGAAACTACTTAGGACATTGTCAAAAGTACAGTTGGTGTTTTATGAGGACAATTTAACCCAAAAGTTAATAAAACACACAGAAAACTTTGCTACAACTGGACAAAACAGCTATGCCTTTAATTTACTGCCACACCAAGAATAACCTTTGGCAATATGCATTTTCTTGCCATATGCATAACAATGTCGAATCATCCTTGGTTTATTTTACTGTAGAATAATCTTTGTCTTTATAACAAAAATGGTTTGATGTAAACAAACTGGCAAAATGTAGCATCTAAAAGTGGCACACAAGATTTCAATTAACCAAACTATGAACATACAAAGCCAATCCAAGACGTCGGTTTCGAAGTAGCTTTCTCATCCACATAAACTTATGGAGAAAATGGCAACTCATCCAAAATACAATTGACTTCTTTTGGTTAAAGGCTTGTGAGAAACTCAACAAAATTTGCCGACATACAATAAAATGGTCAAGCATTTGTTCTAATCCCAGCATTCCAAATACTGAGAGTTAGTTTAGGCTAGTAAATCAGTAAGAGAATTGTTGTTGACACTCTAAAAACATCATTATGTACTGTAATTTTGCAAGAACATACAAAATAGTGTATTACATTTTAGAGTGCTATTAACAACTCCCTTCCTCAAATGTGGAGCAAATCTTGTAGAATGTGAGTAGTCGATCAATCAATGTAATACAACTCGACCTACCACTCGCATCTCACAACTATCTCAACATTTCCCTTGCATTGGGGAATGTCTAGAGAAAGTAGATATTGAATTATAACAAGCTAAGAACTTAGAGAAACTTTCACTAGACAAAATTCAAAAACCCTAATTTATGTCAAGATGAATAATGAAAAAAAAAAAAAAAAAAAAAAAGAAAGTGTATACCTTTGAATTGGAATAGAGCAAAGGGTGGGATATATGATAAGAGGAACAGTGGCACGTGATATTGGCACGGCTCAATCAAAAAGCCGAGCTCAAGCACTTTGAGAGCACTGTTTTCTTATTGAACCGGACCAATATCCCGTTCAAACTGATCCCAATCCATCTCTTTCTTTGGCTTCCATTCCATGCATCTTTTCATAGAATAGGCTACAAAACAAACACATCATTTTCATCTTTACACAAAACAAAACTTGGAGTGAAAACAAAAAGTTAATGATTTTCGCACTTCCACTTTCTCCTTCCGCACTCTTCACCTTGTTTCAGTCCCAGACAAAAAGGGCTGAGTATAGAACAAGAAACACGAGTGCAAAAATCACTTCCCGAAGAAAAAGATTAGAAGTATATGAACTTACATTATGTGTTACAAAACCAACAAAATAAAGAGTTTAATATGGGTTGAAAAGTAGACAAAACACAAAAATTAGGTTGTAGAAATTACTGCTTATAAATTGATATGAGCTTGGAACAAGAACTGACAGAATATGTGAAAGGAGAAGAAAGGAGGTAATTTGGAAATGAGGCAATGGGTGGAGAGAACAACTTAAACATATTAATAATGCAGGAAGAGCAGAGAGAGAAAGAGAGAGAGAGAGAGAGAGAGAGAGAGAGAGAGAGAGAGAGATGAATGTATGTCTCTTTCAGAAGCTATTGCCCAACAAAGGGAGGTGGCTACCAGTTACTAGTGGTGGTAGCATTGAAGAAGTTGCATTAAAATTTACAACCACCTTGCAACAAAGGAAGTTGGGAATATTAATTTTGAACAAGGTACAAGAATCTTTAAAAAATAAAAATAGGTCACGGACACAAATCTAGGGCTTTTAATTTGAGCATTTATGGATGATGGGGTAGGGGAAGAAGAGATGTTCGTTCTGTTCAATCCGCATTTATGTTATTTGGTATCAAACATAGAGAACCTTTGTTTTGTTTCGGGACGTTTTGGTTTGGTTTGGTTTCGTCTCGTAGGTTTTTTGGTTCGATTCAAAACCCCTTTCACCGCCATCACTGCATACTTTTCTTCAACAGTGTTTTTAAAGGTCTCTGCAATATGGGGGCATTGATTAACTTTGTAGGCGTTAGGTAGTAGAGTAGCTATATACAGGTGACATGCCATGCCATGCGTTTTATGTTTAGGTTGCAGCACTGAAAGTTGAAATTTGAAACCCTAATTATTCTAGTTGTCAATTCGTGCCATCATTTTGGTGAATTACTGTTCGGCTTTGGCGTTTGGAAATTGAGACCCAGTACTGAATTTTCACACATGATAAGGTACTCGGTTAGCATCATACCCCATTGCCATATCTTGTAGGTGAGAGGTCAGCGATGGAAAAAAGTTGGTCCGCAATTTTCAAAAGTTTTATGGGCAACTTTGTAAGGAAAGGACTTGCCAAAAGATTGATGACACGAGTTGCATGAAAAGTTATTGTATAGTACCGAAATACAGTCATGTAATATAACAATTGACACACATAATATATGTGTCATACTACCACACAACTAATTTTTTGATTTTATTAAAAAAAATTAATTAATATTGACTAATGAGACATTAACACCAAAACATTGATGAGGATGATTTACATTGTTGCACTTACTATGCTTGATTGGGTTTTTTTTATATAATTGGTTGTATATTCCTGTTTTTTTATCTCTCACATCATATGAAAGAGAAAAAAAAATATGACACATGTTTTATATATTTTGCATGTTTCTCGTGATTGGGTTGTGGAGCCAAAAATAATCACGAAGAATATAGAGGTGACACGTGGATTTTAGAGTAGAAGGACAAAATTACCCTCGAGGAGCATTAGAACTCCTACACGCGAGCAGTGGACAGTCATTCCTCAATCAAGTCAAAGTGCCCACAATAGGTATTTATTCAAAACCTATTTCATCCATCCTCATCAATCTTCTCCACAAGGTAACCCCAAATCATTCATTTCTAATTATATTAATTAACTAATTAATTGATTTAGGGAATTGTTATTGGCACTCAAAAAATCTCATTCTACTCTCCAAACTTTCTATATTTGGAAAGAAAAATACACTTGTGAGGAGTGTATAATGAAATTTTTGGAGTGCCAATAACACTTCACTATATTTATTACCAAATTGATTTATTAATTAGCTAACAAATCATGAACCTCACCCAAAAAACCATCCAAGTGGCCGGTCCTCCTCCTCCCCAAGGGGCCGGCCACACCCCTATATAAACCACCTAATTTTCTCCAAAACTCAATTCCAATTCTCTTGCTAAATTCTCCAAATATTTTTCCCTCAAAATTCTAACTTTGGCATCGGAAGTTCTTCGGTCAAAGCACCCCCCCAATTCATCGTGAGCGTGTGAGGCTCTTGACCTTGACCTAAGGTGTTATTTGTTTTATAGTTACAATTTTGTTTAAAAACAAGGAGGAAGAAATTTGCATCCACAAGAATTTTGTCATGATATGGACGACATTGTGGAGCACTCTACAAAATATATGAATTTTGGTAAGATGCGACGAGATGCATTAAAAAATGTGAAACATGTCATGTGCGGTCATTTTAAGATTGATATACTGAGAGATTAAGCGACAACGTCTTGATGTCGTTCAACATCATTCAATAGCTGGGGCCTTTTATGGTAAGAGGAAGGGTCGAGATTAAGTCAAGAATAAGACTCCGAAAGATCTCAGTAAGTCTTGACCTTTGGTAGAATTTATGTTTAGTTATTTTTACATCCTTATATGTTTCCTGTAAGGGGGTCATTTGGAGTGTGGATGACGTTTTTGACAAATGTAAACGTACGAAAATGATCCTATCTCGATGTGTAATCTTCCTGTCTTAACATACATTTTCATCATCTACGACGATGGAGAAGTTGGAGCTCAAGAACATTTTCATTACGGAAAGGGATCATCTCTGGATCCCTTCCATCAAATCCATCTAATCATTCAATTCGGGTCCTTGAAATTTGATCCAATGATTAAAGTTATTATAACTTTTAAGGGAACCTCCTGTTTTTAGCCGTTGAATCAAATTTTAAGAATCCGAATTGTTTGATTGGGTAAATTTGGTGGAAGAGATCTGAAGAGGATCCCTTCCCTTCATTACTACGGACTAAAGTTTTGGCCACTTGAGTGGGCCTAATGCCTAATGGTCTTGGGTCTCTCTCTCTCTCTCTCTCTCTCTATCTATGTGGAAGGGTACAAAGTTCATCCTATAAAAAATTTCTCTCGGCCAAGAATGAGCCTGCTTATCTCAAATTACAACATAAGAACAGTTTAGAGCATGTGTGTAAGGAGTGAAAGCTCTTAATCAATTAATTGAATTACAAGTTGCTTGTAATATGTGTAGGTGATTTAACATGTATTGTTCTAAGTTTTTTTCTTGTATTTTTAATTAGAATATTATGTACCTTAAAAACAAACGATATTCCTAGAGTGTGCCCTTAATCAATTGAATTACAAATCGTTTGGGGAAAATTGAACTTTTTTTCTTCTTCTGAACATAGGATATTATCTACACTAAGGGTGTGGGAGAGTGAGCTAAGCCTCACAATGGGCTAGTAATAATGTGGTTCAAATTCATTTTTGGCCAGAATCGAATATAAGACCTCTTACTTACAAGTGAAGAGAAATACCACTAGACCGAAGTACTAAGTGGCAAGAGACAATTTAACTTGATGATTCTCAATTGTCAATAAGTGAGGGGCAATATTGGCTCTTAGAGCGTTTAGAACTTTTCACATTGTGTAAGAGCCGACATTCCATGTCCTACATCGTAGTTTTCTAAAATTTAATATCGCCTAATTCTTTATTTTTTAATGAAATTAGGTGAGAAAAATATTTGAATGAGGGGGTAAATTGCTGTAACATTACCTATTTGATAAAATAAGGTTCTTTGTCAACCATTTAATTGTGATAAAAGTTAATATAATAAAGGTAAAATATTTATTAATATTAATCGAAATTATTTATAAATTAAGGGAAGTTTGTCCTACAGGTTGGATAAAGTTGAATGTTGATGCATATGAAGGGTAATACTAATGCTATTGAAGCAGGGGTATTCCATGAGATTCTGATGGAAAATAGGTAATTAACTGGATTTTGTTCTAATTTGGGAACCGGAGAGATACTTGCAACTGAATTATGCGGGTAGTTTTTTAGATTGCAACTTGCTTGGAGATTACAGGTGGTTAAATTACTTGTCAAATCTAAGTTTGGTCTCACAGTGTTGTTGGTAATGCAAATTCTTGTTCAAAATCATCCTTTGGGTTCTGTCATTTTTACTGAGTCCAAACTTATTTTATAAAATACAATTCTGGCATGTGTCAAAGTACCTGTTAACTTGTTACACAAGCTTACGTGGGAGGGCATTTGGTGATTTTCTTCCTTTTTTTAATTATATAAAATATTTATCTCTCTCCAATTTTTATTTAATTAAACGCGCACCACTTATTTAAAACCCTACTTTCTCCTTTTATTTTGTTCTCTATAATTGAGGGATTTCAGAGGAGTTTCCATGGCCAAAAACGCGTTCAAGATGGAGCACCCTCTCGGTACGTATTTTAATTTACAAGAAAATTTTTAAAACTATTACGTTTGACTTTTTGATTTTTCTCGTGTGCTTTTTATTAGGTTCAGAATTGTTGTTTTTTCTTTTTTGGTGTGGGAGTTGTAGAATAGTTCTTGATCGTCAGGAACCCTGGCTATATTCTTACATTATTTATGGGTTGGTTGATTGCTCTCTTCTTTGTAATATTCTGCATAAATCCTCTGAAAGTTTTAACTTTCCCATATCCTCAAATATTCTATAATATCAAGAAAAGATAAATATAAGTTAGGTGCTTTTACGGTGCTGAATTTAGACTGGTCTTACGAACCTTGAAACCGCAGCAGAAGGCCAAAAACCCAAGAATTATATATTTTCCCTTGTGGGTTTTAATTGTAATTTTTGTTCTTCATCCTGTGACTTTTGTTATATGATTGGTGTCTGAGAAACTGTTGACAAACACCATGTGGCACACTGTCACAAATTCTATTATAGAAAACCATTGTCACTAAATCTTGGTAATGATTTCGTTCCTGAGAAGTTGTCGAAAAACAAAAAGATTTGAGTTGAGCAGCCCTAACTTACGATGAATCTTCGGTAATAGTTCATATAGAAATTGTTGATTCGTATTTAAAGGTATATGTAAATTATATAGCGTACCTATGGAAGAACAATCGACTAGATGGCTTATGTCTGTCAAGTTCCAGATCTTGGATGCTAATTGAACTTCCTTTTAAATATATATGTAAATCTGTGCTGAAGTTCCTCTCTAGGGTTATTGGCCATGGTGGTAGAGTACCCATGTAAATTGTTTTTTTTTTTTTTTTTTTTTCAACAATTTGTATTGAAGTTTAAAGAGTGTGTTTTTGTACATGCCAGAAAAGAGACAAGCCGAAGCTGCTCGCATAAGAGAGAAGTATCCTGACAGAATACCAGTATGATTGTTATTTCTTTCCATTGCAGTTGTGGGCATGTTTCTCTTCTACTTTTGTTCTGTAATTCATTTCCCGCTGCAGGTGGTTGTGGAAAGGGCTGAGAAGAGTGATGTGCCTGAAATTGACAAGAAAAAGTAAGTTGTTTCCTAATACTTGCTCGTCTCATAGACATTTTGAGAACCGCTTTCCTCTTTGCTTCTATCTGTGACATCTCTGGATTCTGGATATCATATCAATTGTGCAAATTTTGTTTGTTGTCTTCACGTGTTTACGCTCTAATTAGTCAACGTACGTGATTGTTTTGTTACACCTATTGTTGTCCTCTTACTCCAAATATTTTATTATTATCTTTTGCCAAAATTTAGTAACAAATTATTTGTGCCTGGTTTTCCTGAATGTAGATACCTGGTGCCTGCTGATCTGACTATTGGCCAGTTCGTGTACGTTGTCCGGAAGAGGATCAAGCTCAGTGCTGAGAAGGCTATTTTCATCTTTGTTAAGAATATTTTGCCACCCACAGGTGAGATATAATGGCTCTATTATGGCTTTGTTCTCTTCAATATACTTGATTACTACAAAACAAGAAATTCTGATATGATAGGTTACTATTTTATATTCAGTTTTATAGATGCTCAGTTTTATAGATACAATTGATTTGTTGCAGCCGCTACGATGTCTGCTATTTATGAGGAAAATAAGGATGAAGATGGCTTTCTTTACATGACGTACAGCGGCGAGAACACATTCGGGACATTCTGAAGACAGAAGAATAAAAGAAGTTACAAGTGATGTAAATTATCTTTCAGTCGAGTCGATGGATTATTTATGTGTGCGTATGTAGATCCCAAAATTTCTGCTTAAGCCTTTTCTTTGCAACTTTGTAATCTAATTCAAGTCTTCAACAAAAAAATTGAAACTAAATTTGTAGAATAAAGATATCCTACTTGCGTCAAAGCTTAGTCTTAAACCTCCCAGAGTGGTTCATGTTGGCTATGGTAATCAGGTTGTTCGAGTTTGATTCCTATAACAATTGGGGGTTTCATATTTCCTATAGAAACCAAACTCATGAGACTCTTATTGAGCTCATCTCCATTTGACTTGAATTTTCCGACTTCTGAGTTGGACTCCAATTTCACATAAACCATTACATCATTAGGACCAAGGGTTCTTACTCACTCAGAAAGCCATCACTATGTTCCCTCTGCCCCCTCTTTTTCATATTAATTTGTAAACTAATTTAAGAAGGACCGAATCGAATGAGAATGAAATTTGAATGGGTTTTAACCATCAACATACGAAGTATAAATACACTGCAAATAAGAACATTGTTAGGTTTGTACATAGAAACAACATTGTTACACACTCACTGTAAATGAGAACACTGCTAGCGTTAGATAGAAGATAACATCAAGGTTTATATTGCTCCCATTGAGATAAATTTTTGACACCGTACTTTATTCAAATTGGTGGTGATGGAAGGTTCTCTAAAGTATATATATGCCTCCATTATATTTTTTTTTAAGTAGTGCATTTGCTCAACCCCTAAAGTGCGGGCAACGCTTGATGTGTATTTAAGCTAACCTAAATGATAGATTAATTTAAGGGAGCTTTAATGAAAATGGCTTAGACCAAGATTATTTTAATAAAAAAACCACCCTATAGTTTTCTTTAACCAAAAGCATCTCAAAATTAACCATAAAGACAGAAACCTCCAATTCTATATGTGCTGAATTACAGAGCCCAACAGAAATAAAAATAAGTTTCCAAAATTACCCCAACAAGGAGGCGCAGGTCTGAAACTTGTTTGTTCTCATGAAGGAGAAAACTCACGTTAGCTCTAAGCAGAGCGTCGATCATCGTTTCGTTTTCTGGGTTTTTCTTCCTTCATTCTTGGTGCATATATTAGTTTTTGAATTTCCTTATTCAAATTAGATTCAGATTTGGAGAATAACCAGACTTTGAGAAGAAAAAAATCCCAAATGATTGAATCCAATCTCCAAAAGTACAATTAAAAAGAAACGAACAGGAAAAGAGTTGTGCAATTGAATCAATGAGGAGGACACTCAAACTAAATCCATTTTCCATGGAACAGGAAAAAACCAAAAATTCCAATTTCTTGCACCCATTTCTCCATAAAACTAGAAAGAAAAATATATCTCTACCTGTGATAGAACCACCTTCCCCAATTATTAAATCTGGAAAAGAAAAAGAAAATAGAAAAAGTAGACGAGAAAGAGAGAGAAAAGTGACTTCAACCATGACATTCAACTTTCATAACACTGTTAATGTTAAACATTTCTAGGAAATAATATGATTTTTTTGCCACTTTATTAGAAAACAATGAGACCTGTTATGTTTTGAATCGTAGCTGTTTCTGAAAAAACTAACATTGTCTCTGAAAAAACTAACATTGTCTCTGGAAAAACCTAACACTGCCTCTGGAAAAACTAACACTGTCTCTGGAAACAGTGACTTAGTTTCCAGAAACAATGTTACTTAAAATCTAGAAACAGTTTATTTTTACAGTCCAGAAACAGTGACCTGTCGTTGTTATTGAATAGCATGTAGATCTCAAATTTATTTTATGGAGAAACAAACGATGAATTCCACTGACGAAGAAAAATTGAAAAACATTACCTCAAATCCACTATGAATAATAATGACGATCACATTTCAACGAAATAATACAAAATATAAATTAAATAACATGATGATCTATATTTTTGTTTCAAAGAAAAAGAAGAAGATCTGCAAAACAACGATGAACCCCATTAACGATGAAAATCTGGAACTCAACCTAAAAAAGTTAGGGGTAAAATCGACAAATCATAATTTATCATAGTTGGGCCATTTTTAGATATACTGTTTTAATATGGGCCTTGTACTAATCATTAAACAAAACTTATAACATGATTTTTTTATTAAAACTAAAACTTTTCAAGCCTTTTTCATTAGTTTTCCTTTAATTTAAACCAAATTAAACTCGCAAGCGCACGAATCAAGTGTAGAAATATATGCAAATACAAGGTCGATCCCATATGGATTGCTTTTAATAACAATTCAACCAGTTGAGTACGTGAAACTTAACTTAACTAGGGAACAAATGATTGATTAATTGATTATGAAAAATAATTAAAACTTCAACTTAAAATTAAACCAGGAATATGAATAACAAAAACACGCAACGAATGAAAGTTTAAAAGAAATTAATGTGATGAAAGCCTAAGGTCATGAATCCACCAATAACAATCCTATTCTCTTTTCTTCAAGCCGATTACTATCCAATTACCACGCCAATATTTAAGGTTATTCTTTCTAAGATATGAATTAATCCGTGGTCAAACATCAACTCGTGTGTCTCTACGTGACAATTATATCCTATTGGTTAGACATACAGTTGAACACATAAAAACCCATTAAGCACTGAAGAATTATGTCAACCAAGTAGGACCAGTTTGATATTGGTCATCTTCACTAGTTTGTCTAGTCTTCTTAATCTTAAATCCAATAAACCTAATTGATTGGTCATCCTCTTAGATTTATCTAGTTATCTAGAAACAAGTTCACAATGATGGCTAGTCATAAGAACATTCGAAACTAGAATAGATTAAGCACAAAGATTAAGAACTAAACATGGCATATAATCAGATAGTAATCAACAAGATACTTCGGGAATAATCATGTCATGGCTTCATCATAAACCTTAGAAAAGTAATTTAGTTACGCATAATCATAATAAAAATCACAAAAGAAGTCATGGAAAAAGATAAAACCCGGAAAAGAATGGTAAGACATGCTAAGCTTCCTTCCTTCCCTTTGGACAACTTTTCTCTATTACCGTTTCCCCTTTAAGATAGCCTAGAGCACTCTATTTATTCTAATAAAATCCTAAAAAGTCTGATAAAAAAAAAAAAAAACTCTCCTAAAAGAGAACAACTTCCTAAATAATCAATGAGAGGAAAGAATCCTTCTTGACTTGGGAAACACAACATCTGACTTGCACACCAAATTTGAGGTCGATTTCTCTTTTGGAAAATTCTGAAAAAATATGGGAAACTTAAATTTATCTCTTATCTTTCCAAGAATATATCACACGCCACTAGGAAAAATCGGGAAAGCCTTCAAATCTTCATTCTCCACAGCTGCGTGGTTCTGACTGGAAAACTACTTCTGTCGGATTGACTTTGAAAACTGGAACGTTTGGCTTTATGAAAAATTATGAAATTTGGATACAATGATCTTCCGCTTCTTAGCTTCCTTCTCCAATTGACCTTGCATCAAAACTCCTTCGAAAAGTCGAATTATGACCAAAAACGTCATGCATGCGCAAATTGGCTGAAACAGAGAAAATGAAAGTCATAAGGCTCTTTTAAGACCAATTCCTTAACAAAACTTAGGGATAAATAACATGAAAATGTGATAAATAATGCACCTATCAATGCTCCCCCATTGATTGCCTTTAGGTTAGATTAAATTTCAAATTTGGCTTTTAAATTAATTAAATCTAACCGATCTAACTGACAATCAATTGGGGAGAGAGCATCACCCTCACTTTAGGAGGGGTGAGCAAAATTGCACTATTGGTTAAGATACACATTGTTGTGTCGGTGTTTCTACTAACCAAATTCGAAACTTTATTAATGATTATCGTAAATTTGAGAGTTGATTTCTTCTGAGTATTAAACAATGGGATTATAATTAAAATGAAATTGAAAGAATATTGTAGGCATTGAAATTTCGTGTTTACAAATACTAATCAGAATAATTCGGGGTTCAATTGGAAAACAAAAATAGACAAGAACCAATCAGAATATTAAACAATGGGAATATAATTAGAATCTCATTTCTTATTACTGCCTTTTTTTCCCATGACGACTAGGAAAGGGCAAATAAAAATTTCACGTTGAGATAAAACTATATCAACTAAGCATAAATCAAACTTCACAGAAAATGAATTTATTCCTTCTAATCATGTTTTGCAACATGGAGAACTCATTATTTTCACTTCATCAACATTTAGCTAGCGACATTTGGTCACTTGGAAACCTTGTCTTTGTGGCGACACTTATCTTTAATCCAATTGATTTTTCCCTTGGCCTTCTCAGCACCCACCTTGGCTTTCCCAAGTCCCAATGCAGCTGCGTTTTTCATATGCTTCTTGTCGTTGCTGCTGCTCCTCCCTTCCTCTTTCTGATCTTCTACAGCAGGCTGCTCATCATTCTCTACTTGCTCTGGTTCTTGTTCGTGCTCGTGCTCGTGCTCTTGTTCTTGGTAGGGTTCTGGTTCTTGATAGTATTCGTATTGTGGTTCAAGTGCGAGTTCATCGCAGCCGTGACTTCCTGAGCTCAAGTCTCCAACCCAGCTTAAAACTTCCACAACGAATTCCATACTCCTGTCGCAATATTTCATTCTTTTGCGTATGTACGTAACTCAAGACCCAACACTGTGTAATATGTCATGTGTAGTACTAACTATCACAATTCACAATGCTATTTCTTTTAACAGGAAAGTATGGATGATTTTGATAAAATATTACATAAAGAAAACACAGGATAAAATAGAAATGGTAAAAGTCTAGGTGGGAAATAATTTAACATGACGCACATGTAATGCTTAAAAAGAAACCCAGAGGCCTCAACGTTTTTGGGGTGCACAGCTAAAAAACCATAAAATTAAGCATTACGTAAAGGGAAATTAAAATCATGAAGATAAGATCGTAGGGTTTCATTGTCCATGTGGCCCAGAACATGGAGAGATTCTTGAGTGTCCCAATTTGTGTATGTTTATATGTCTAATTTTCACATCACATAATTAAATAGACAATTGTATACATCAGTAATAAGGCGAATTTTCTTAGAATAAGAGTTAACCAACAGGCGAGATGACAAATTCGCAAACCTCTCGTACTAAAATAAAGAATGGTTCATGCACTAAAAAACTGTAAATTAAGCAAA